TGCCCCGCCACTATTCCGAAAACGTAACCTAATTCAGTCTTCTACATCGGAACCCGACCTTTCTTACTTGACGCCACTGTTTTTTTTTCAATTTTTAGTGAGTGTCTTACTCCAAAACTGCGGAGGTTTGCGGGTGACTCACAGAATTACTCCATGCGCGCACGATTGCGTCGTATGCTGGGGTAGGTAACCTGTGAAAGTTTTGGATTTTTGATTCCTAACGTTCATGGTTCGACCATTTTTTACTTTTATAACAGACACTAACTTTTGTGGCCGATGTCGCCTAGGTCAAAGGTCTCGCTTGCAGGGCACTTCTCTTCAGATCGTTTGTACACTGTTTCTACTCGATCTTGCTCTTTCTCTTTCCCAAGTACACTTCCTGGTGTCCTGTTTATATATTTAAATTCCCCAAAGGGACTGAACTGAAAAGTCTAACCGGCCTGGACCGTAGTGGATACCTATCTACGCGATAGACGCCTGTGACCAGCTTTCTCACTCTACTCTAAGCAGCATTCGCTTGCCGGCCCGAATGGACACTTCTCCGACGGTCCTGCGTAGGACAGCTGCCTCAAAAAAAACTAACTGACAACGACAGCAAGCACAGATGTGCGAACACTAGTCAACCTTTTAGAGGTTAGATCCGAAGTCAGAGGTGGCACCTCGTAGACAAAGCGATACTTCAGCGTTGACACCGTTGGCCTTGTAGACCAAGATAGGTGCAAGAAGTCAAGCATATCAACCAGTCGCCCAGTTCGCTGTTGTATGAACTTGCGCGCGTCTTGTTTAGTTTTGTAGAACTATTTGGAAAGAAATGGTCAGGATACTGTCGGCACTGATAATCATGGTCATTTCTATTTGGGGTAAGCGACACAGACCACAGCGAAATAGACACAGCCACTTTTTCACAGCCGATCTACGCACGGAGCACAATCCACATGTCAAGAGCGCGTCCCATTAATACTGTACACAGGACCCTCCTAGTTACCGATAACGGGTGACCGAGATCGCCAGTTTAAATACCAGAACAAGGAGACACCCCACTCTGCCTGGAAATCACATTTTCACCGTTAACTAGCCCCTTAATCCGACTGGCTTCCTTTTATTACTCAGATACCAATTGCCATTTGACCGACATGACTGGGTGGTTGACCGTTGCGGCAGGGACGTGCGTTACATAATCGACTACTACGACAGCGGGAAGGACGAGGACTACAATTTCGCTCTTCTTGACGTGCGGCCTGCTCTCGACTCTTTCTCTGCTGTCTGGGATCGAACAAAAGTGGCTTGGCTGCGCTGGACCACTTCCAAACAACCGCCATCATCAGAAAAGTCACAGTAATAATATTTTATCAGGTCGAACTGTCATCTTCATTTTTTCCCTTTTTGCAGACCTCATATAGACGTTATTTAACGCACGTTTCCTCCAAGGCAAACTGTGTACTCAGGTGTTTTATATTGATAATCAAACTGCGTAGTGATAAGCGCTTCTTCCTTTTTGTCGCATGAGCACGTTGAACTGTGCCGTTGACCGTTTTTGGTTGTTGCACGATGAAAAAGCAGTTCTATAGCTGACGTCGTTGCGAGAAACCTGAGGCCACGATGCCGATCGTCAAGTTTTCCTTCGTCACTTAACTATGGGCAATGAGCAAAGATTTTTTTTCGCAAGTCACTGACGTATGCCTAGTCGAGTAAGCGATTATCACGATGCCTAATGATCTATATAGTCGAAGCAAGACACGTTCTCCTGTTATGTGGAAAGACGTGGATGCAACGATAAGCTCGCTATGTCAAATTGTCGATTTACTGATTCTCACACGTTTCTAATCGTACCAGGTATAAGTACGCGAGGAAACGAATCCGACCTATCCAGATGTAAACAAGGCGAACGGAGTGCTCAAAGGTAACTAAAAAACCCCGACAAAAACGGGAAACAGAATAACTATATCAACGCATGTATGCCAGTGCATATTCAGCTGCTCAGAGTAGAGGGGTGGGTTAATTTGTTCGACCTCGGACCATAAAAAAACAACACAACGCCTGACCTCTGCTGTTGCCGAAGCATTACTCTACGTCCTTTTTTTTCAAAACTTTAGTTCTCAATAATGTATCAATGCAATACAGCGGGATGAGGATACGTACTGAGTTAGTAAGCCTTAAAGTGACTTTACTTGAATCTTACCACCCTAGCTACGTTGTCTGCGAATGGAAGCGTGCAAGACCGCGAAGGGTAAGGGGTTGATGATCAGAAATTGATTGTCATTATGAGATGGGAAAAGGCACCCTCTGCATGTCTTGTAGCCCTGGATAGATCCTGCAACTATTGCCTCTCGATTGCATGTGTAAGTGCTGAGTCGGCCACGCGGGAATTAATCGAGGGGTCGGGATGGATGCTACCTGTCCAGTTTTGCTGTTGAAAACCCCACAGCCACCCTCACGCTCTGTAGTCATCTTATGCTATGCCTGGTTGGATTTCTATTAAGTACCTTGACATAACTACGCCTGCATTTTGGGTATAGTCAGTGTTACCTTGCGCAAGCCAGAAACCCAACCAATCCACCTTAATCTCAACACCGTCACTCCATCCCAGATGAAACCTTCGATTCAAATCAATATTGACTTCCGCGCCTCCAAGAACACACAAGGTGTGTGGTGGTCTACTCGGCCTGGCAAGAGCGAGCGAACTCGCTTTGTCAGTTTGCATTGCGTGTAATTCGACCTTCAGCTTACCGGCACCGATCGATATTTCGCTAATACCGATTGATAACAGCCAAACACGGCTCAGGCGCGAGCTCACACCTCATGCAGACTACTTTACAGCAACGGATGTCTCTTTAATAAGAGACACCATAGTTAGCACTAGCTCCTCGTCCTTTTCTTAAGAAAAGTTCTCCCTATTGACTAGTGTACTTAAACAGATGTAGCACGTATCCTACGTCCATCTACCCCCTAGAAAGATTTCTTTATGCAACTTGAATACGGGCAAAGTTACAAATACGCCTGAGGAGGGCCGCTGGCCCCCCTTCCCCACGATGGTATCTTATTGTGACGACAGGCGTGTGTCGGCCGTTTTTAACGTCACAATAAGGTAACGAAAAAGAGAAATAAAATTGAAGGTGATAAAAAGTCAGATAGGCATACAAAAAAGAGCTTAAACACAGAATCATGATGGGTCAGGGTTGGCGTGACGTCAGTGGAGCTGGGTTAGCGGGCAATGTTGAATTCATCGTCTTTGAAGGCCTTCCTCGCGCGTTTCAACTCCTCACTGACCAGAAGGAGCTCCTTAGCGCGGGAGAACTTTCGTGATTCCTTCC